CACCCACTGAGACAATGGGGCTGATCTATTGGGAGCTCACCAAGGCCAGCTGGACTGTGACTGAAAAAGCATGGGATAAAACCGGACTCTCTGATCATGGCGAACAATGAGGGCTGATGAGAAGCCAAGGACAATGGTACGGGGTTTTGATCCTACTTCATGTTCCGGCTTGGTGGGAGCCTAGCCAGTTTGGACGTTCACCTTCCTAGACATGGACGGAGGGGGGAGGACCTTGGACTTTCCACAGGGCAGGGAACCCTGACTGCTCTTTGGCCTGGAGAGGGAGGGGGAGAAGAGTGGGGGAAGGGGGAGAAGGGTGGGAGGAGGGGGAGGGAAATGGGAGGCTGGGAGGAGGCGGAAACTTTTTTTCCTTTTCTCAATAAAAAAAAAAAAAGAAATTGGCCTTGACTTGGTGAATTTATAGGAGTTAAATTACAGAAATAACACAGTACAGAAATAACAAAGAAGGTGCTCTTTTTGACCAAAGTGTATTCTTGAGTCCTGAGATCGTAAAGGGCAGAAAGAGATGATGACCAAAATTGAAGGTCATGCACTGAGCCCAGCTCCACACCTACTGTTCTATCTGCATGTTAGTTCCAGATTTGTTCAGCATTGATGTATACATTCTCTGAACCCCAGAGGCCCTCAGAATGTTGAGTTTCCAGACTCAAAGTTCTCTGCATCACAGAATCATGAAGCAGTTTGATTATCAAGCTAAGAACATGAAGAAGAAGGCTGCTCTGCTTGCAGCATCTGCATTTCAGTGCTCTTAGTAAATACGCTATCTCACAATACAACTGTGCTGCTAATCAGTTTTTCTTATTCCAGCCACATAAGTGTTGATAAAATTGAATCATCATAATTTTATTTTAAATGCTTAACCAATGTTATTTTATTACGTATCTAAGTCAATCAAGTCCATCTCTATAAAATCTAATTTCTGTTCTCTTTCTGTCATGCCACATCAGCACAAGTATAAAACTTCAACAAACATCACCATATCATTTTTATTTTAATATATTGATTAATAAAAAACACCGCTTTCTATCCACATGTATATTACTGACCATTTATTACTTTACTTGCTAACTCAGTCGAAAACAAAAGCTGTTATTGGTATCAAGATATACTTCTATAAACAAGAAGAGGTAGGCTACCACAGACTTTCTCCTCTTTCTCTATGCCCCAGACCAAAGGTTCCAAACCTGTGAGTCACAACCCCTTGGAGGCTGAATGACCATTTCACAGGGATTACCTCAGATTACAGCAGCAAATTCACCATTATGAAGTAGAAATGAATATAATTTTACATTTGAGGGTCACCACAACATGTGGAACAGTATTGAAGGGTTGCAGCATTAGGAAGATTGAGAGTCAATGCTCTAGACCCAAGCTCTCAGTCTCAGCCATAGTGTTGCAACAGATTCCCAGCTGCAGCCTCCCTTTCCCCTTCCCACATCTCCTGGGAGCCCCAGGGGCCATCTTCTCCTAATATTCCTCCCCCTGCTCATTGCTGTGTCCCAGCCTCCAACTCTAGTAGGTACCAACTATTAGGCCATGCCTGCCAGAAAACCAGGAAGAGTGCCCACAGATCTTGTCCTCTTTCTCTGTTCCTCCAAACTCTATTCCCTCATGCCCACATCCCTGTAGATACCACAGGCCACCCCCTCCCTTTTTTATTGTTTTTATTGAGCTCTACATTTTTCTCTGATCCCCTTCCTGCCTCTCTCCTCCCCACTTCAACCCTCCCCCAAAGTCCCATGCTCCCAATTTACTCAGGAGATCTTGTCTTTTTTTTACTTTTCAGGTAGATTACATCTATGTAAGTCTCTATTAGTGTCTGCATTGTTGAATAAGTTCTCTGGAATTGTAGTTTGTAGGCTGTTTTCTTTTCTTTTTTTTTTTTTTTGCTTTATGTTTTAAAACCACCTATGAGTGAGAACACGTGATAACTGTCTTTCTGTGTCTGGGTTACTTCAATCAAAATCATGTTCTCTAGCTCTATCCATTTTCCTGCAAATTTCAAGACGTCGTTACTTTTTTCTGCTGTGTAGTACTCCATTGTGTAAATGTACCACATTTTCTTTATCCATTCTTCGGTCAAGGGGCATTGAGGTGGTCATTCCCTTCTAACCTCCCTTATCCTACTAGTCCCTGTATCCCAGCCACCACACCAGCTGAGCAGATCAGTAGAACAGGCAGCACAGAGCCATCATTCTTTCCAAAACTCTAGAGAAGAAACAGAAAACAAGAAACAAAACACACACTCAACAAAAAAAAATCCAGAAATCAACACCTAGACCTATAATTATCCTAAGCTCAGATTCCTGGTTGCTAGTGTAAAAACAATCAATGACAACCAGGGCAGTACGTCTCCACTGGAACCCAGCTATCATACTATGGCAGGCCATGAATATTTCAGCATAGCTGAAGCACAAGGAAAAGATATGATGACGATAGCGGTCTTTAAGGAGGAAGTAAATACCTTAAAGAAATCCAAGGAAACATAAAGAAAAAATTGAAGAATATAAAGCAACCTCTTTTAAAAACCCAAGAAAACACAAAAATTGGAAGAAATGAATAAATCCCTTAAAGAGCCAAGAAAAAAAAAAAAGTTAGAAGGAAAGGAATAGATCAGTCCAAGACCTAAAAGTGGAAAGAGGCAATAAAGACAACGCAAACTGAGGGAATTCTCTTTTCTTTTTTAATTCTTCTCCCATATATTACATATCAACTACAGTTTCCACTCCCTCCTCTCCTTCCAGTCCCTTCCCCCTACCTCTTCTCTTTCCCAGATCGATTCCTCCTCCATTTCCCTTCAGAAAATGTCAGGCCTCTCAGGGATATCAGCCAAACATGGCATATCATGTTGCAATAAAACTAGGCACATCTCCTCCCTCATATTACAGCTAGAAGAGGCAACACCATAGAAGAAAAAGGGTCCCAAACACAGGCAAGAATCAGAGACAGTCCCTGCTCCCACTGTTAGGTGCCCCATAAGAACAACAAGCTACAGTCCCTATAAGCTCTGATTAGTTGATTCTGTGGGTCATTTTCTTATGGTGTCCTTGACCCCTCTGGCTCCTACAAGCCTTCCTTGCCCTCTTACACAGGATTCCCTGAAATCTGCCTAATGTCTGGTTGTGGGTCTCTGCATCTGCTCTCATCAGTTGGTGGAAGAAACCTCCCTGATGAAGATGATACTAGGTTCTGGCATATATGTATAGAAGAAATAAAAAATCATTTTATTGATTTTTTGTCAGTTTGTGTTTGTTTCTATCCTAGGTCTCTGGGCTATCTGGCCACTGATTCCTGGCCATCCAGGAAGTGCCAGTCATGGGCTCACTCTCATGGCATGGGTCTTATGTTGGACCAGTCATTGGTTGGCCACTCACACAAGTTCTAACCTAGATGTCTCTCAACCAAAGAATGGATAAAGAAAATGAGGTACATTTACTCAACTGTTTTTGTAATGGTGCCATGAAATTTACAGGATGGAACTAGAAAAAAATAATCCTGAATGAGGTAACCCAGACCCAGAAAGACAAAATGGTATGTATTTACTTATAAGTGGACATTAGATGTAAAAATAAAGGATAATCATCTACAATCCACTGACTTAGAGAGACTAAGTAACAAGGAGGGATCAAGGGAAGACACAATGCTCTCCATGGGAAGGGAAAATAGAAAAGACTTTGTGAGTGGACTAGGGGCAAGTGGGAATGGGAACAGGAGGGATCAAGTGGGGTGTGGGGAAATAGAGCACTGGGAGAGATAACTGGAATTGGGGGCATTTCACAGGCAGGGTAGAAATCTAGTGCAAGTTTCCACTTCCAGGAATCCATAAGGGCAACCCTGGTGAAGATTCCTAGTAGTGGCAGAGATGGAGACTGAACATGCGGCCTTCTGTAACCT